AATAAATACATTTATAATTCAAAATTTGACCTATATATTATAATGATACACTGTATATAAATTAATGTCTTCTATTTCAGTGAGTATTAAATATATCCCATCTCAATCAGTATAAAATAAAATAAATCTTACTGGCAACAAACATTTTTAACTATATATTCTAATTGTATTTATAAATTAATACTTACAATTCTGTGTCTTGTCTACTAACTCAACCAGTTTGAATGAATGAATGAATGAATACTTACTGAATTTAAACTATATACATTTCTGTATCTGTCAACTACCTCAGTTAGCATTCTTAATTCAGCTTCAGTTTGTGCAAAATCAGTCAACTACAGACAAATGTTTGTAATGTATAGTGATATTATATAAAAAAAAAAATATTAAAAAATAATTATATTATTTATTATATATATAATTATATATAATTATATATATAATAAAAAAAAATAAAAAAAAATAAAGCTAAATAAATATCCCCGGTACATTTCAAGCTATTTTCCGCTCAGTTTTCTCTTTGCAAATATATTTAGGCATAGTCCAGTTTCTGGAGTTTGCACTAGACTTTCTTCATCGCGCTTGTGAGTGATATTATCTTGAAATGACATTTAAGCTTCACTTGGACCACTCGTTCAAGCCAATGCAGATGAAGCTGCCAACTCCACCAATTAATCTAGTTAAAAACACACAAGTATGCTCAAAGTTCCTGAGCTTCACGACCTCTGGCCAGAACTCATACCAGCCACCCCAAAGTCCACTGGTCCAGCTGACTTTTTAAAAATGCTGCCAGTTCCAAAATTATTACGAGGTTTATGCCAGCTTTCCCCCATGAGATCACGTAGCAGATAACAGATGACACACTGGGTTAGAGTTCCCTCAGATCTCATCCCAAAGTAAATGGCAACCAAGGTTAATTGGCTTCTCTGGACTCCCCAGAGGCTGATCGACGGTATCAAAATTGTTTTGCTTTTGTTAAGTGCGGAGGGTGATGGGTTTAATCAAGGCATTAAGTAAAAGAGATTTAGTCACCAGCAGTGATTTTGTCTCCGCTCCTGGCATTCGACTGTCCACTGTGCATCCAATTAAAATCAATGCGAACTATAATTGCATTTTATAGTAATTGGGTGGTGCAAACATATTCAATCAACAGACTGGGACATACATTGCACCACCTAAAGCTTTCATCCACCTTACCTATAATAGCAAATGTACTTTTGGCACAATGCATCTGTGAATGCATTAAAAATGAACATGACACACAATTGAACTATTATTGGTTAACTCTCGTAGAAATTAATTTAGGTGTAGGTATTCTGTCTTTTCAGCTTCAAGCCAAATATCCATGCAAAGAAGAGTGGGCAATTTATTTCTTTTTATCTCCCTTTCATCTTTTTCTACTTTTTTTCTTGCTTTAAGGGTTGAGGTGTTGATTAAAAACGCATCTGAAAACCCACTTACAGGTTAGCGTGGCTGCATTTTTTTTACATGCTGCATTTTCAGGTTTAGACTTTTCTCCAGATATCCACTCATTGGGGGCGAATTGAATTTGGGCTCATCGATAATTCAATCTTCATAGGTTTTTTTTTTCCTTTTATCTGGCTCAGAGAAAAGAGCAGAACAAGTTAGTTGTGTGAAATGTTAGCCTGTGTAGAAATGCTTCATCCACACATCTCTAGCACATTTGTAGTCTTACATATTTTTTTGTAATACATTTTTTACATTTAATGTCAAAAAAATATGAAATCATAAAAAGGTAAGTTATTTACTGACCACATATTAAACAATCACAATTTTACACTACCCCGTCAAAGGTTTGCATTTAAGATTTTTTTATGTTTTTGGACAAAGTCTCTTATGCTCTCCAAGCACAGGCGGAGAGTGAACTCCAGGGTGAGGCTAAAAGCAGCCAAATGTAATAAACATCATAAACCCGTCTTTTTAGGCAAGAGCCAGACATGGGTGTCATGTAGGCTAATAAAATATGTTTAATGAAAGAGAACAGAAAGAGAACGCACACGCACTCAACAAAACTGATGAGTTTCAGCGATGACTCATCTGAACGCCTCTGATTGGCCATTGCATTCCTAAGCTCAACTGAAATGTGTGTGATTGGTTAAAATGCGCAACACTGTAAAAACGCCTAAAAAGAAATACGGTGCAACATGAGCAGATCTTAATGACGCAATCGACAAAAAAAATATGAAATCATAAAAAGGTAAGTTATTTACTGACCACATATTAAACAATCACAATTTTACACTACCCCGTCAAAGGTTTGCATTTAAGATTTTTTTATGTTTTTGGACAAAGTCTCTTATGCTCTCCAAGCACAGGCGGAGAGTGAACTCCAGGGTGAGGCTAAAAGCAGCCAAATGTAATAAACATCATAAACCCGTCTTTTTAGGCAAGAGCCAGACATGGGTGTCATGTAGGCTAATAAAATATGTTTAATGAAAGAGAACAGAAAGAGAACGCACACGCACTCAACAAAACTGATGAGTTTCAGCGATGACTCATCTGAACGCCTCTGATTGGCCATTGCATTCCTAAGCTCAACTGAAATGTGTGTGATTGGTTAAAATGCGCAACACTGTAAAAACGCCTAAAAAGAAATACGGTGCAACATGAGCAGATCTTAATGACGCAATCGACAGTCTATTTATTTTCACTTTGTTAGCAACAGACGTAATAGATTTAATTTGTTTGTGCAGGGGCATTTTTGCCCCAAGTCCCCATGGCCAGAGGAAGGCTAATGTCGATAGCCTTGAAGGATAGCCAAAAATGTTAAGCAGCACAATGGTTTTCAACATTGATGTACAGCCCGGTTTAAATACTCAGCACACCATCAAACTTAGCTTTTTGAGTCTAGCTTTTAGCTTTTTGTGGCTAGTATTTAGCTTTTCGCTTCTAGTCATGCTTTTTAGTTATATGCTTTTTAGCCAGCGCTTCTTAGCGCTTTTTGAGCGTGCTCTGGCTTGCACGCCATCTCCTCCAAAACCATGAGGAGAAACGCCACCTAGTCTCGTCAAACTTTACTTCTATTTCTTTACTTTAGTTTATTTTATTTTCCGTTGAGAGTTTTGTGTGTTCCGAGTTAAGTTTGCCTAACGCCGCATCTCCGAAAGAGTGCAGTCTAAAAATTCAACTGCAGACCACAGCTTCGGTCGCCAGCCAACGCCCAATCACTGGCTTCCCAAGACTGAACCTCCAGCCAATCAGAAAAGCGGGAAACCCCTTTCGGCAACCAGACAAGGAAGGGAACCCCGCACACAGGAAAGCAAGTACCTCCAGATCCTAGCTGAACTGGTGCATTTAATATAAATTTTAACCTAATTGAGGAACTCAGTGCGAGGATTAACTAAGTGACTGATGGTTGTTCAGATCTATGCAATTGCACATATTGCTGTAAACTTGGGATTTCACATTTTCATTCTCTTAAACTAATTATTTCCTCACTTTCTCTCTTTCTGCAACTTGTGTGAATGCGTGTGTTCATGTGTTAGATTAGTTTATATGTCTTAGATTTATCCAATAAAGCCTTATTTATATTGAAAAGAGAAGTATCTTGTGTTTTGTGCTCACAAGTTAATGTCTTAAACTGCCGATCTTGTTACTATGCTAATTAATAGTGTTTTCACTATATTTCCATTGCAGAATTGATGTCATACGGCTCGTTCAATGACTCGCTGGCCGTCTCAGTGATCAGCCGTAAAACAGTGATTCTGTCCTAATTCCCTTACAAATTCTAAGAGTTCCCTTTAAAATCTTAAATGATTCCCTTTGAGCTAAATTTACCTGTTTCCCTTACATTGATAATAATAAGAAATGTTTCTTGAGCAGCAAATCAGCATGTTACATCGTGTCCTAACTAAATGCGATGCCACGACACGCGATATAAGGTATCTTTTCCATGTTAATCAGAGTTTTTGTCCTAAAAAAGCCGCAACGGCGACACGCAAAGTTTGTATTTTAGAAATGGCTTAAATTTATGTGACATCGTGGCTGGAACAACAACATACAAACCAAAGCATAGGCCTACAGCAAGCCAGCAAATTCAAAGTTTTTAAGATCACAAGGAATCCTGTCCACACTTTGACTGGTAGTCTAACTTCAGTCAAGTGTGTTCACATATTGTGAAGCCGCCTATAACAGAGGGCTTGTTTTGAAGGTGCGATCACTGTGATTGTCAGACAATCAGGCGCATCCCACCTTGAGAGGTGTTGTTTGGCTTTGTCTACAGCCTACCTCTTACAGCAGATGGCCAAGGGAAGTTGTTTCATTACCACTGTATCCTAAGGGTTCGCAATCGATTCGCTCTCTCTTTGTCCTTCTCCATCTTGGCTTATATTACTAGCAGTTCATTTGACACACAGGAAATAGAAGGTCAAACAGACTGCATTGTAGAATCGCAATGTGCTCTGTTGTATACTGCACATTTCGCCAGGTTGTATTACATGGATATAGAAAAATAGCACACTATGCACAGTAAACATACTATACACTGCAGAAATAATATGTAAAATTGTAATGTAAGAAAATAAAAATGTAATTATTTATAATTAAAATTATTTCACAATATTGTTTGTATTGCACTTTTGATTGATGAAAGAGTCTCATTTTAACTGACACTAAACTAGTAGTGTACATGCATCTTTTTGATTTGCAAACCTGTAATTATACAAGTTATATTAAAAATACAATATAAAATTCTCAATTTAATCGAATAAAAATGTGAATTTTATAATTTTATGTGCGTGAAAATTTTGGCCCGTCTTAAGAAGCAGAAACAATCCTTATGTTGACCCTGAGTGCAGTATTCATACATTGCCATACTTTTATTTCTGCATAAATATACCAAAACCATTGGTCATCTGCACTCATAAGCTCTTAGAAAGCTCCATTTATTAAATATAATTATGAAATGTATGTACACCATTAATTTACAGTAGTCATATAGAAAAAAAAAACAGCCATAGAATTCATTCTCAATAGAAAGCAAGTGTTTTTTCTTTTTTTGTGTGTGTACTGTTTTTTTATATAGATATAATGCACTTCAATAAGGACGAGATTTCGTTCCTGGGGCACGCTGGGTACGCTCAGTTGCGAGACCAGCTCGATTACGGTGGGAAAGTGAATTAAACTGCCTGAATCTGCCCGGCCCATGGGAATTAGGATACACACAAATGACTCATATTCCATCCCTCAGCCGCCGCTGATATATTCTTATAATCCTTTGCTGGGTAATCCCAGCCTTTAGCGGCTCCTAGCCCCAGTCAATAGTTTCAACATCAAATGTGGGGTTGTCGGATGCGGACATCTTTAATCTTTTTTTTTTTTTTGGACATGTTGAGCGATGATCGATCCTTTAAAAACAACATCTGGGAAGGTCTGCCACTCTGCCACAAAACCATTCTCTCAGAACCCTCTCCGCTGGGGTTTCAGTCCATTAGCTTAAGCCCACTCTATATGCAGGCTCTGAGACAGACAGGTTTGAGCAGGCACACTGGATAAAGACGATTCAGAGTGATGCTTCAGCCCTCCTGCTGTGCTGTTTGCTTGGAACGTGTGTGCTGTGCATGTATAACCTATTATTATGCCTGTAAAATACAGCTCTGTCATCATCCAGGAGGCCGGTGCATGCTTACTTTCACGTAAGCTTGACTCTCTTCGTAGAAAATAAGCAAACAAACAAAAATGTCTCTGTTGTAATTTCTTGTGCCTGTTGGGTCATTGCTGGCCTTTGATTGGCTGCTCAGCTTGCAGTGTAGATAATACAGTGCGGTGGGTTTGGTAGCATGTACACTGGCGACAGGCTGTTTGATTAAAGGCCAGGCACGAGATGGCAAGGTCAGATGTAGTATTCTTTGCTGTCGTGGTTGGGTTTGTGCAGGTCCAGTGCAGCCCGGTATGGAGGATGCTCCATGCTGGGTCGGTGCATCTTTCCGGTGATTACGGGGGGCGCTGGAGTCCGTCGGTGACGATACAGGAAGCGGATGATGAAGGCCAACGCACAGAGGGTGATGAACACCACTGCAGCCACTACTCCTGTTCATTAGATAAATTAAGAGGTGGCATGTAAAAATGAAAACATGCTAAATATGAATAAATTACACTGGTTCACTACTTTGAATGCAATGGTGTGGCTTTGTAAATGTATCTTGATCGCTCTACAGTGCAGTGCTGCAGTGGAACAAATGAGAACAGCATGAAATAAAACTAAACTAAAGATGTATGAGGCTGTTCATTTCTAAGGATGGTTTATTACTTGTCAGATCTGAGTATTATTTTGAAAAGTTTTTCCCAGAGCACAATATCATGGGGATCTATACCTCCGAGTACTGCCAAGTCATTTTGATGAGCCTTTTTCAGTGGATCTTTGCCTCGGTCTGTTTTTGCCGAGTCATCTGCAAGCAGAGAACGAGAGCGAGAGGAAGACAATGAATTGGCTTTTGATTCTTTTCAGCAGGCTGAAAAACACTGTTATTTTTGAGTCTCATGCAGTGTGGAAACTATTAAAAAGGATCATTTACCTGACCGTGTGTGTGTATCGCTTAAAGTGTTCGAGCTGGATACCGTCCCACAACTTGATGCTTCCAGGCGGCCGATAACAGTAACTAACGGGCTTTGGCTGTTTTGCAGGGCTGCCTTCAGAGGGGTAGCCTGATTAAACTGCACGGAGGACAAGCAGCCAATAAACCCTCTCAATCCAGCCTGAACCAGTTCCTTATCAGTAATGTTAATACCTGAAAAAGGAAAAATAATTGAGGAACTGAACTTAAATGTGATGCGTGTAATATTTACATATATTAAAATATATTCTCCCATGCCAGGTTAATATGCAGAGACAACGACACTGCTATTCAAAAGTTTGGGGACAGCATGATATTTTTTTTTTCTGTAGGACATTTTTTTAAAGAAGTCTCTTATGCTCACCAAAGCTGCATTTATTTGATCAAGAATACAGTAAAAATGTTAGTACAATTTAAATTAACTGTTTATGTCATATAAAATTAAATGTATTTCTATGATAGCAAAGCTGAATTTTAAGCATCCATTACTCAAGTCTTCAGTGTCACATGAAATAGATTTTTTAAAGATTTGATGATTAAAAAAAAGTCTTTACTGTCACTTTTGACCAATTTAATGCAAGCTTGCTGAATAAAAGTATTTTTTTTTTAAAACAACTTTCCAAAAAAAACAAAATTTGCATGGTAATCTACTGTATAAATAAACCATTTCTATGTTTACTCTTCTGAGAAAAGAGTAACCAAAACAAGGCTCTGTTAGTAACTTTGGCTCAACAAATGGCATGAGTTTAGAGTGAAATTAGCTGTTTGTCTGACTAATGGGAGACAAGGAGAGTAATTTGAGAGTAATTATGCATTTCACCTTTAAATTAATTCAAAGTCAACTGTTTATGTAACCACTCCACAGCTTTAATTTTAAAAGGAGCCGACTGCAGAATCACACAAGTAACCTCTAATCTGCTTAATAACCTTTTTAAGAAGCTTCATTATTATATTACTCAAGTCCCTTTTTTAGTGTCTACAAAGCCTTTCTAAAACAGAATAAATCAGCACATTCAGTGCCAGTTCCTTTTCTATTTTCTGTAATGACTAATGAGTCTAAAAGGGGCTTGTTGTAGTTCTGTGAGTGCTTTATTGCTCATTTGTATTAAATGTTCACTCGCCTCTATCAAAGCACTGGGGTTCGTGCCACTTTCAGACCCTCCTTATTGCCTATCAGGTAAAAAGAAAAACTTTCCTAGGCAACACTGAGACATTCCATTTGGCTTTGACTTGGCAACTCACCTGTGACGGCACTGTCAAAAGTGTGCCTCCCTACTCAGACAACAACCCACCCTGTCCTAACCTGCCTGGATTCAAACACCTGACACCACATCAGTGAAATAGAAATGTGTGAAACAGCACACAAGGAACATGAAGAAATGGAGTCCTCTTCAAAAGCCTGTCAGAAGCTCACCTTGGATTCTCCCCAGAATCACTGACCTCGCCGGGCTGAGAGCAGATCCAGGAGACAGGCTGTACTGCTGGGTTATTGTGTTGTCAATCTGGAAAGGGACAAATAATGGCAGATAACTTGGGAAAGATTGATAATAGATTTATCAATAGATAGGTCACAGGAAGAAAAAAAAACATCTCAGGTCGCTATGACACACGTTTAGAAATATCATTTATATGTTGCAAGAACTTTAAAATTTCAGATAAGTTATCAGACAAGAATAAAAGTCATCCGTTCTCATTCCTGTAGAGAGTCAAGTATAGGAGGTCAAGTAACACTACTTTAAAAATCAGATACTGCCCACTGTGTTAAAACTCACCTGGACAAGGAGCTCCTGTCCCTTTCGATTGATTTTGACCCAGTGGAACCGTCCGTCTGCTAGACTGGATGACACTGGGCTGAACGTTTCTGTTTGTTTTTCTTTGTTCAACAAGTATCGTATTTGCAGGCTGCCTGGGAAATCAAAGTAAAAGCTATTGACTTAAAGTCATAAGGTATTTGTTCAATACAATAAATGCAGAGTTGTAACATGACAAGGAGAAATAATGTTTTAAATTTACAGAGTAATGGGTTGCAATACAAATTCCAACAGGGTGTTTCAAGACCCCAGTGTAAAGTGTTTTTGTATCACCGTGATCTTTTTCATGGCTACTAACCAAAGAAATAAATGAATGGACAAGAAATATTGAGTTGAAATCGTTCAGTTAAGTAAGAATAAATGATGGTATGTTGATACAAGAAATATTACACTAGAATAAATATGTAAGAAATTGTCTGATTAGGACAACGTTTCATTATGTTTAGTGATCATAATAAAATATTGATAAATATAAAAAGAGACTTTAACACTAGTGTTTTCTATTCCTTTTCTATTCTTTCTATTATTGGGGAGGGGGGGATAAGGGTGCCCACCCCCTTCCCCAGTGGTATTGTCATGGCGCGGGACGCGCCTTCTGGGAGGGGGGAGTAATATCACGTTTATGGTCGGTTTTGTTTTTGTTTTCTGTGTTTCCATCATCCCTGCCTAGTTAGTTTCCATGGTTTTTGATTAATTAGCTCCACACCTGTTTCTGTTCTCCCTAATTACATTCCACTTGTTTATAAGCCCTGTCTGTTCCTTAGTTCTCTGTCTGCTATTATTTGTGTTTGTTCGTCGATGATGTGCTACGTGTGGTCCTGACTGCTGTGTGAAGATTAAAGTCTGTGTATCGCAATTCTCCTGCGTTCTCCGTGTTCCTTGTTCCTCGCTCTGTGCTCCTTACAGTAGCATACCGTGACACACAGAGGTAAGAAGTTTTTTGTAGTTGGTCATCAGGTTTGCACACATCTCAGGAGGGATTTTGATCCAATCCTCTTTACAGATCCTCTCTAAATCCTTAAGGTTTCTTGGCTGTCGTTTGGCAACTCAAAGTTTCAGCTCCCTCCATATATTTTCTATAGGATTGAGGTCTGGAGACCGGCTAGGCCACTCCATGACCTTAATGTGCATCTTCTTGAGCCACTCCATGACCTTAATGTGCATCTTCTTGAGCCACTCCTTTGTTGTCTTGGCAGTATGTTTTGGGTCATTGTCATGCTGGAAGACCCATCCATGACCCATCTTCAGTGTTCTGGCTGAGGGAAGGAGGTTCTTGTCCAAGATTTTCGGGCCTGTACATGTGCCTTCTTGAGCAGGGGGCCTTGCGGGCGCTGCAAGATTTCAGTCCATTGCGTAGTGTTACCAATGTTTTTCTTTGGTGACTGTGGTCCCAACTGCCTTAATATCATTAACAAGCTCCTCCTGTGTAGTTCTGGGCTGATCCCTCACCTTTCTCATGATCATCCTTACCCCATGAGGCATCTTGCACGGAGCTCCAGACCGAGGCCGATTGATGGTTGTTTTGTATTACTTCCATTTCTGAATAATCACACCAACTGTTGTCTCCTTCTCACCAAGCTTCTTGTTGATGGTCTTGTAGCCCATTCAAGCCTTGTGCAGATCTACAATCTTGTCTCTGGGATCCTTTGACAGCTCTTTGGTCTTGCCCATGGTGGTGGGAGAGGTTGGAATGGAAGATACAGATTGTGTGGACAGGTGTCTTATACACCTAATGAGTTGACATCTTAAAGTGGCAGGACTAATCTGTGTTCCACATGGGCACATAACCAATCTGTGGGAGCCAGAATTCTTGCTGGTTGGTAGGGGATCAAATGCTTATTTCACTCACTGAAATGCAAATCAATTTCTAACCTTTATATAATGTGTTTTTTCTGGATTTTTTTGGTTGATATTCTGTCTCTATGCGTTAAAATAAACCTACCATAAAAGTTACAGACCCTTCATTTCTTTGTAAGTGGGCAAACATACAAAATCAGCAGGGGATCAAATAAATATTTTCCCCACTGTACCCACCCCACTGAACGTGATTTTGAGGGGGCCCCATAGCAAATTTCAGTGCACAGGGCCCAGAATTCCTAGCAACGGCCCTGGTTGCAAGAACCTTCCATTTAGATGCCTTTTGCTCTTTAGGTAAAGGGTGTGGGTCTTACACAGAGAGAAAAAGAGCATATGTGTATATGATGCGCTTTAATGGATATGTGTGATTTTCAAGCATATTGAGGTGCCAGGTTGATACAGCACGCCAACAAGAAAGGTAAAGGGTGTGAAATTGAAGAAAAAAAGCACAAAACATTTTTTTTCCTTGACTACTTTTAGGAATAAGGGAACAACTCTGATGTATTTTCACTGCTCTGTAAAAACCTAATTTGCATAGCTATAATTAAATTTTTAGTGCTCAAAGGAAGACAGATATTGCATATATTACCGTTTGGGGTCAGTACTTTTTTAAAAAAGAAATTAAAACTTTTATTCAGTAGCGATCCATTACTTTAATCAAGAGTGACAGTAAAGACATTTATAGAATTACAGAAGATATTTTTTTTTATATATATATATATATATATATATATATATATTCTGTTCTGTTAATCAAGCAATTCTGGAAAAAAATATTAAGCACCACATCAAATCAGCATATTAGAAGGATTTCTGAAGAATCATGTGACACTGAAGACTGGAATAATGACTAAAATATACTGCAATAGAAAACAGTTATTTTTCTATGTAACAATATTATGGGCTTTATTGCATTTTTGATCAAATGCCATGAGTGGGGGTGGGGGGTAATTGAGAAGGAATGGGGGAAAGTCACGTGAGAGAAGACAATGCCTCCATGATTGTATATGACTGGTTATGTTTGGCTGTGATTGGTTTATGCGATAAATCCCGCCTCTTGTGTTCGTGTGCGTTCGCGAATCAGTCTGAATGATATAATGGCGTTAATGGGAAGACTGATTTAAAAAAGCAAGTAAACAACTCACACCCTTAGATATAATCACTTTGTTACGTCAAAATAAGACGTAATGGCCTGAAAACATGATCTGTGCAAGTTTTTAAGTGAATAATCAGCTTGGTAAAATTTTAAGTAAATTTCTGCATCTGTGACCAATATTTACTGAGCTTTGATGACTGATGACCCGAAAAATGTGAAAATAGTTAAAAGTTAACTATTAAAAACAAAAGCCGAACATAAGTTAAATAAACTATATTGTTTAAATTGTTACTTCCTTGAGTTATTATTTTGGAATAAATGTAAAACACCAACCTGATGAGATTCATACTTAGCTTTAATAAATAGAATATTGATTACATCGTTAATGTAAAAATATAAAATAGAATTGGGTTTTTTTCCTGACAGTGTAAGTAATGTTTATTTAAACAAGAAAATGTGACTGAGACATGAATTTAGATTTGATAAAAAAAAAAACTTTGAGAACTTTACCTCCTCATTTCAGAACACCACCACACACCAATGATGCGCACACACCTTTCAACTTTCAACCTGCTTGATATAGGTTTGTAACAGGATGAGCAAATTATGACTATTCCGCGAGGTTTAGAATATGACTTGGTACCGTTTGATGTTAGCATAACAGCCATATAGTGCTGGTCCACAGTATGCGCTGTCAGGATCAAGGCTGGCACATGATGCGTCAAAAACCCAAACGACACTTTCTCTTGAGATTTGGTAACTTCAGCATCATGGAAACCGGCCGGTGATCTTCTGGCTTCCTCATTCAGTATTCCGGAAAATGTCTCCTGGAGAGTGAACAGGACTGAAGATCCACTTTCAAAGGAAGCTGCTAGAGCTGTGATGGACATGGACACAGAGAGACAAAGCAGTCCCTGGTGAACTTCACTGATAATATCATCATCATCGTCTTTATGCAAATTCAGATTGCATGCAAACTCTATGTCTCATCTGTCATTATTTGAGCTATAAAAAACAACAACATTAGCATTGTTTCCTCCCCAACCACAGATGAGACCGTAGCGGAGAGGTGTCCTACTGATTCTGTCCGTCTCTTCTCATTTTCTGGTAATCTATTCTAGTTAGCAGTAAACAGCCGTGGCTTGAGCGGACCCGTCGCGACATCGCATTGTAAAGAAACAAAGCCATTACATCACTAATCTGACTGACAGGCTGCTGGATGGGTATGAGGCAGACGAATGGCCGCTGTAATTAAATTCCATTTGTCAGTTAAAGCTTTTCTGCCAAGGCCCGTCAGCCCAGCCTCAATGAATTCAAGGTTAATACGCCATCAAGGGCATGTTGTCATCCACTGGTGGCCGACCCTCCTGATCTAATAGAAAACGAAAAGTTGTCTAAAACAGATGAAATTGAGAAATTTCTATAGAGTATATAGTGGGTTGACTTTCATTCCTTTTGTACACATTTTTGGTACAGACGTCTCCTATTGTGAGACCCATGTCACATCCAACAGCTCACGGCAAGCCTTGGATTAAACCGATATATATCAACTCCTATAGAGTCTTGATTTAATTTCTCTCTGTAGGCTTTGATCTAATTGTGTGATTTTACAGTGTAAATCCAATAAAAACACTTCCACCATCAGAAACGCCAACACTTGAGAGCTACAAGCATCTGAGGCATGCTTAAGTCCAGAATGCCTTTTTTATTTAGCTCTTTTTGATTGGTGCAAAAAGACCAATGAAAGCGCGCTCGCCCGGAGGCCATTGTAACCTCACCTATTCTGCAGTGTGGCCCATCGAAGGCTGTCTGCGTGCAGTCGCAGGTGTAACTGCTCCTCTCTTCCACACATCTCCCTCCATTATGGCAGACGCTGTCGCTGGTGCAGTGACCCGGGCAGCCGGAATTCACCCCCGGGGTGGTCTTTGCACGTTCATACAGGTCAAGGGTAACCCCGTTAATGGTGAGGGAACGTAAGCAGCCCAGAAATCCCCTCTGCCTAGAAGCTGTTCCTCCTAATGGGGAGAGTACAATGATTAATTGTCATAGGCAAAGTAGAAAGCCAAGGCTTTTGAAGTCCATAATATTGTCGTTCTCAGAAAAACAGTTCAGTTTATGTGCCATGTGTGTCCCAGCTACTGACTTAATTACCTGAATTTAATATTATTATTTGATAGTTTTACTCTGTTTAGTGTGTAAACAAAAATTTAAATATTTGATTAATATATAACCATACTTTAACATCAATTTACATGTTCCTACTCATCACCACTGCACATTAATAGGTTTTATAGGTTAAAATTTTACCTGCTTTTATGGCATTACATTATCGTGCCTTATTCTATAAATGTTTTATAAATGCGCTATTTGTCTTTTTCTCTGCATGTTCTGTTGAACTCTCAAAAGAATGATCTGCTTTTTGTGACACTGTATTTAAGGGAGTGACAGCATAACATTTCCTGATCATGTTTTTAACAGAGATAAGTTTACTGAAAAGCATGGTTCTAGTCATAACACATACTGACTGCAAATAATGTGGTTTGGTGTGAGAGCTTAACACAAAACTTTATTGGCACAATGAAAATGTATAAAATAATGAGTTTTTTCTTAAGAGATATAAGGAGACATTTACAAGCTAAATTATTTATTTGAATACAAAAAGTACACTAGGTTTTTAAATATTTGCCTTCAAATTGCATTTATTTAATACTTATGTAATTATTTATAATTTAAATGTTGAACTAAATGTCAGATGCTGTTTATTGTGCAATACAGGACTTTTGATTATACACATGCCCAAAATACATCAGGACTTATTTTAAAAGGTCTTTACTACTTCCAGTTGCTCACTCAAACAAATGAGGGAGATAAAATATGCACCTTAAAAGCATCTAGAACATATTACATATAAGAAAACAAGTTAAACTTTGTTATAATTCATGAACAGATGATCATAAGCAATAGCTGGGTATAAATGTGCGGAATTCACTTATTGCAACTGCTTTGAAACTGCAAGCCCACAGAACGCCCACAAGAACATGCCACATTTTTACTTTGAAACGTGCAGTGCTTGCATTCATTTCATTAATTCAGAGACTAATTAAGTTTAATAATCACATTAGGCCATAACGCGATTCCTGTTTTTCCATCCCCAAATTTAATAATTAATTTGTTATACAGTTTAATAAATGTATGAATTTTTTTAAGACCTTAAATTTGATCAAACTGAATTGAATACTTTTAAGGACCTGCAAGGACTTACTTTTTATTTGCACACATGCTTCTAAATACATTTTACAGTTTGCACAAATCTATTTGTAGTTGCAAAATTGCAAGTGAAATGCTTGCACTGTAATAATATTTTTGCACTGATCTTCAACCCAGTAACATTTATCAACACCATGGTTCCTGACTTATGAATATGATCACAGATTCCTTCTATTTAAATTATCTACATTTTCTCTGTTCCCAGAGGTATTCTTAGCTCAAGCTAAAGTACACACGGTGTTATTTTTTCATTATTAGTGAAATTTGCTCGATTACATGTCTGCGCACCCACAAAGAGTTGACTGCTGAGCTGAAGACGGTAGGGTCTCTCAGATGGTGCTTCATTTTGCTTCGGCGGCAGGGAGTCAACCTGTAGAGAAGCTTCTTTCACATTTCGTTCAGCACGAATATAATGCAACTGACGATCGTTCAAAGCTACAGGTGAATGAACGGTAAGGATTATTGGTCCGTCCCCTAGGTCGAAAGCGAAGTTCACTGTATATGGAGCTGAGAAAGAAAGGAAGAAAAAAAAATCACCCTATGTGGTTTAAACAAAAGTATTACAATGAAGTTCATTGAAAGTTCACTGAATGCACTTCTTGAAAGGGCCTCTGAGCACTTCACAACAAACATGCTGAAACCCTTATTTATTATATATTATTACCCAATATATTATCCTTAAAATGAACTATTATGTAATTTGCTTTACAATTAAAATGACAAACAAATAAATAAAGGTATTTTTTATATATAAAACTGTTATTTTTCTTATGCAAATTTGCTAGTTACATTTACACTTACAATTTAGATATTTCTTTGAAAAAAAAGAATAAGAAAAACAGACATTTTTGTTTGAAAGTAATGTTTAAAGAAGCACTCACAACTCAGTTCCAGCCTTATGAAGTCTCTGACACCCAGATTCTCCAAGAAGACTCCTGAGAGAGCACTAGTTTTGAAAAAGAGTGAAATATCGACACTTAGTTCAGCTTGGAGGGTGGGGAAATGCAGATAGGAGGACTCCTGGTAAAAAGATGCAGAGTTCCAGAAAAATCCTGCAGCAGAGGGACAGGCAAGAAAGCACACAGCGTGTTGAAAAACAAATTGTGCACTGAATTCGATAAAAAAAGGTCAATCTCTTCTGCATTTTGACATATGAAAATATATTCAGTAGAGAGCCATATTACCCCCCCCCCCATTCCCCTTTTAAAATTGGTAAACAAAACACCCACGGTCGCCATAGCAACGCAGCGGTCCAATTTGGAGCTCGGCCTGCGAGTTTGTCCGGTTTGTGTCTCCAATGGCGATCTCACTAAGGGGTAAATGGTCTTTGTAAGACAGCACACCAGTATCATTTGCCCTGCAGGAGGAGAAAGAGAATGAGAGAATCAAAATGTGCAAGAGATGAGGTAATGAGCGAAGGGCTAGGAGAAAGTCTTTTTAATCTCTCTCTGAGGTAGAAGATTGCCCTCCGAGGAGCGAGTGTGCCTCACTTGTTGCTTAAAAAAACGGTAATACTTGCCCAATGGCGAGTACTAAGCTTTTTCTGCAGCATCTCGGACACTTTAACAGAAAAACTAATGAAGGGTTTTAAAGTGCACTTCCTATACAGCAATTTAATCGACTAAATCTCTGCAATCTGCCTCAAATTTCTTTCATTCAATGAAAAAATAACAATCCTGTTACCTTGCAAAGTAGGGAAAACTGTTCATTCAGTGCCATATGTGCGGGAAATTGGGTTACTTTTAAAAGGATGCCGATTTATTTTTTTCACCATGGGTTGTTTGACATTAAATAAGTTATATGTGACTGAAATGCTTGTATTGAAATGTTATATATTTTACCAATGTTAAAACTGTGCTAGATGTTACGTTTTCTGAGAGATGGATACTTATAGAGGAAGCTTTTGTGAGGTCCTTTATAAAAAAACAAACTGTGTTTATGTATAAAACATAAAAGTGACTGGAAAATATGTATTTTTGGATTTTGGGCTAGGGTCATTGAGCTATTTTTGACTGGCCATTGGGCTAGTTTTGTTACATAAAACTGGCAAATGTGATTCACTGTGAAATTAAGATTTACCAGGTGTCTTGGTCTGCATCACAGTTGCAGAAATAATTCATGTCCCTGCAGTTGCCATCCAAACTACAAGAGCACTGCTGGACCCCAGGCAGAAATCCTCCCCAATATGTTCTTTTCACTCCGTCTCTATCCAGCCACCATGACAGAGGAGTTCCATCTGAAAATGGACAAAATGCCCCAAGGATAAGAATATTTTTTACTTATCTGGCAGTAAATAATTATGCAAATAATGACAACACTGTTTGGAGTCTAATGTAATTTAGTCGTGCATGATGACATCTGGTCTCCTGCCTTTGCTGATCAGTAATAGGCACTGAGACTCCTGTCAGTCAAGTAGCTGTTATAGTATTGCTACAATGTGCGTGACCTGACATCTGCTATCACAGCAGTGCAGAGATCTGGCCAAGAGCTTAGCCAATGACAATCAGATATGCAAGATGTCTAGTGCTGGAAGTTCACCATTTGAGCGATGTTTGATCAAAGGTTGATCTTTTGCTCAAAGGCTTCACTGGATCTCCTTCCGTTAAACTGAAATGAACCTAAAGTATGAGCCGAGTGTTTGAGGAGAAGTTAACTCCAACTTAGTTAAAAGCCTAAGCATATCAACCCTGCAAAGTCAAAAGTATTAAAGCGGGGTGAGAAAAAACATATGGAATAAATTAGCATACCAGTGAATAATCTTTTTTAAGGCTTTACGCATGCAATTCAAATGCTCTCATCACGTCGCATAACCATCCCTGCATGACAAGAATTACATTCTAACCACTTTTTAAGTGAACACCATCATTCACCGTGCATCGTCGTCATGTCACACTTGAGCCCCTTTAATATCTGTGGTAATAACCTGCTGTTGTGAATCATTTAGCTGTGAGGTACTTTTTTGTTCCTTTGGAACATATTAGCCGAATTTAGAGAATTAGAATTCCTGAGGTAACATAAATCACACACTTCATAAGAAAGACCACATTTTAGCGCTACAGTACACAAAAACAATAAGATAGTCTAGAGTAATAAAGCAAGACCAACCCCAGGTGTCAAAAAGCCGAGACTTCCTGCAACGATATCTCACTTCCTGTTGGCAGTGCTCCGAGGAGGTCACGAGTGAGCGGAGATGGTACGGTGAGATGGTGTAGTTGAAGATGAGAACGAAAGGGCTGCGTGGAGTGGATCCTCGAATGTCGATGGGCCTCATGTGATCGTGCCCCACTACGGTCCAAACTTTATCTTCTGTGCAAGAAACACACACACATACACACACACAAAGACTGAAATCCCCATTGACTCGGATCGTGTATCAACCCTCTCAAGTCTGCCCTCAATCGACCGTATGTGCTCGCGAATGAAAATGAGAGATTAACGGAGTGATGGAGTCGTATGCAAATACCTGATGAATATTAAGCAGAGAACAGAAGGTCACTCATTCAGGAGAGTGTGAAATGATGAGTATGGTAGTCTACGCTAGCACCTTTCCCTATGCAAATTGAAATTGCTGCATGCGATGTCCAAAGGTGCCAGTTCGCAGTGTCTTGCAGAATTAGCATGGCTAATAGCTCCTGTAATTGAGGTCAGTTTCAAACGATTTTCTTGCCAGTGCTTGTTGGCGTCACCTGAGAGAAAAGGGTCTATTTGTATTGGGACTTTGGATCTATTAATGCATTCACCGTGAAAAGGCTAATTTTGTAATCTGGCTAAAGCTCAATGAAAGCTAACTTTGTAAAATAAAGCCAGCTTAGCCGCGCCAACATGCAGCAGGTGGTCACAGTGTATGACAGTTTCCCAGTGCTTACTTTTCTCCGCTCAGCTTGCAGCTCCAATAACCTCAGAGCCAAAGCCCGCTCCCTATGAAACTAAGAAAAATGAAGCTATCAGTCGCAGCTAGTACGCGCTGCCAGTCTCTGCAGGCAGACATGCTCCTTGACTTTTTTTCTTCCTTCACCTGCGTTTCTCCCTGCTGCTGACATAATGGGGCTTGAATTTCCCTGCATGATGATATAATGTATTACAGTCTTATCTCAGAGACAAATCAGTCTAGCATCTGATGTTGCCGAGAGGAATGTCAGAGGCCAAAAACCAAGGTCGGAGAAATTGGTGATGAAACCTGACAGGAGATGTGAGAAAACACATTGTTCCCGGTGATAGAAGATGCATCTGCTTGCCCTCACATGTCTTGGTAGGAGCTATATCTTGATATATCAAAACTGGTTATAAAGAGCTCGTTTCTAGATAGTTCCAAAATATACTTGTAATTTTTATAGTAAAAGACTGTAAAAATGCTACAGTAAAACCCTGTTAATTGGTTAACTGTAAGTTACCTTATTATATACATTGGTAAAAAATTTTTTTGTAAAATTACCATATAATTCTCACTAAAAGAATGGGTGACACAACACATATGATTATATTTTATTTAAATTGTTTCGTCCTATTTATGTTATCAGTAGTGTGCATTAGGGTCTTTTAGGTTATATTTCTGTTTTTTTTAGTTTATGTTTATTGCATTTTTTTATGGACTGACCAATTACAATGTACTCTGATTCGTCATGTGGCTTACTATTGTGCCATCTGTATTATGGTATTCATATCCGTACACTCATATCAGTAAAAAAAGTTTTTTTGAATTTTGGTTCAAGTAGTTTGGTATATTAACATTATCTCACTTATTGAAATAAATTCTATAATTCTGAAAAACATGAAACTACCACAGCTGACAGATGTTAATTAATTAATTAATTAATTTTTTTTGACTACAAATGTAAATTTAATATATTTAAAGATTTTTTTTACACTCTAAATTACTGTAAAAATTACACATACTGTATAAGGGGAAATTCACTAAACTTGTGCAGGCATCAAGCAAAAACCTGCATCTCTCACGAACCTCCTCCAAACCACTCAAGTGCACAGTGTCTAGCAATCGAGGCAGGAGTCATTGCTTAAATTATGATTAAGCGATGGAAAACTAATAATCCATCATCTATCAATGAAAATAAACAGTGCTATCAGTAGACGCAAATCATTCCCCCACAGTCTTGGGATAACACAAAAACATCTAAACCACAGCAATATCACACCATCTACTAAATGTCTTGGTAACACTCATCATTAGTCAGTCTTCTGAATCAGGGATGTTTGTGTGGTGCCTGAGCAAAAAATCTGCCTCACCGGAGGCTCCCTAGAAGGAAGGTTGGCCAACCCTGATCCAACCTGCTGAACTAGACAGCCGCATGAGATGCTGAACTCACCTAATGAGATGTGTGATTTCTCCAGGCAGTCCCCCACACATGCTGAGGTCACACCTGTCCATGCACTGAATTAGGTTTGTAAATGAGAAGTGCTGAGCTTCATCATTCAATAATGTGAAAGATGATGAACATCACTGTATAATACATCTAGAAATGTGCAAAGCTGAGTATGCATAATTGGGTCAGTCACCTGCCATGGTGCAGTTGACTTGAGTGTGCTCTAGAGGTCCGCTCCCATCAAGGTCGATTGTAAACACACTCGACTGGCTTCCTGTTTTCCTGAAGGCCTCGCAGGATCGCTCATATATTGCTGAAAATGATGAATTATAGAAATGATGGAAATAAATCTGCTGCTGTTTTTATGTTGTGCTTAATTACAGAATGCATGCATTTTGGCACATCTGCATGCTTGGCACAGGGATACTGAGCCTGTAGGAGGTAAACACAAAAGTAAGATCAAGAACATTGTTTTCTTGCCTTGAAGTTTAAAGTGTAATCATAGAAGATAAATTACACATGTCAAAGTTTGCTATTCAGCAGTATTCTTCAGACAGAGCACTCTGCGTGAATGCCATTAATAGTAGATATCTGTTAAATCAGTCACACATAAAAAGTGTTGACATGCAAATGAGTCTTCTTTCATTTAAATTAAATTAATATTCCTAACAATGGCTTAACCATTTCAAACAGTTCATTTAGCAAACAGAGGTAATTCTTGGTTACTTGGGACCCGTTCGTCATGACAGAAGTCCTCTGTGCGGTAGTGAGCTAATTTGCTGCACGTGTTGTTTTGCTAACGGTGGATCGCACAGTAGGACTTGTAAAAAGGAAATGTCATATTTCTCGCTCTTTTAAAGCAATACATCTAACAGATGGCATTGTTGTGCCTCTCTCTCCTCCAGAGAACATGTACAGTCATGAGCGTATGATAAAACGGTGCATGTGGCGGCAGATTAGAACATATTGATCCAACAAATTTGATTACAGCAAGGAACCATAAAACTATATCTGCCAAAATAATTACAGCTTACTCAAAATACTATCATATACACCAAAATGAAACGGCTAAATTGGTGAGTGCGCAGTTTCAAATCATCGTTACATGACACGTAGGCTTGCAGCTGTTAAGTGATGCATTATGTACACTCTAATTAATCTTAATGATTTAAAGATAAAAAGTAAGCAGCATTGGACTAATTCAATAAGTATAGTTTTAAATAATAAATACAGTTTATATGAATGATAAAAACAACAATATGGGGAAAGATGGACTTTGTCAACTTTAATGAAACATAACAACAAATTAATTGAGTAATTGAATTAAAGTAATTGAATTAAAAATTTAGTAGGGTACTTTCTCCCACACTATGTTGGCACCTGTAGATTACAATTACTAGGCACTATTTTTTAAAAATAATATATTTATATATTATTTTATTTTAGCACATACAAAATGATAACTTTGACAATGTATTATTATAAATTTTTATTATTTTAATTATTATAAAAAAAATTTAAAAAGTGAAAACGAGCTCGTATCTGAGTAATCATGCAGGCATGGGCTGTTTTGGAGCTTTGCATAACTCACAGTTGTGGCAGGTGGCTCCTGTGTATCCTGTTCCAGAACAGTCACAGTAAAACTGGTCCCATGACTGGATGCATTGACCACCGTGTTCACACAGATTGGGCAAACACCTGTTGGGATAAACATGTGCAACTGCAGTGATTATTTAGGTTTTTAAACAGCTTAATTACTAATAAAATTGCTCATTCTCATCCCAGCGTTTTATCATCATATGTAGCTTATCCTGCATTCTTGTACAGACATGAAAAAACACCTCAAATCATGCAGCTTGTTGAGCATACTCTGTAATGAGTATAAGTGGTTTAAGATAATTAATTGTCAGGTGTCTGTAAATTCCATCTGGGCCTGGATATAAGTCAAATTTCATATTTGATCACTACATACATTATTGCAAGCAGTGAAGCACAAAAAAACAAAAAACAAAACAAAAACAAACGGTAAGAAACCTTTGTGAACAAGAAAATCAATGGGGAAAACTGACCTGTCTTGTATGTTGCAGACATCAAAGCTAATCTGGCTAAAGTTGCTCAGGCTTTCCTGCTGAATCTGAAGGAAGTTGACTGGATGGCTGTTTATGAAAAGCAGACGAAGGCAGCCCTGATATCCTTTGTTGGGGTTTTCACAGTTGAAATCACTCTGGAATAAAGGGCAGCCTAAAATAATGGAAAATCCCAATTTACTGTCTTTCAAATCAAAAACAACATCCACAACTATTACCAAGCTGCACAAAGAAAAACCTCTGTTCTGAGAAATTCATGCAAAGCAGCTTATAAAATCTCAGCAGGGCTGCATTGTCCCTAAAGTAAGCAAAATGAGAGATTTAGAGATTTTAGTTAAGACATTGGAAGTTTGAGTCAAAGATTTCAATAACAGTTTTAAAGAAACTGCATTTATCCTCTACAGTAATTGAATGTGGTTTGAGCTGCCTGAATGAACTAAACAGAAGAAAAAAAAACTTCAAGAAAAAAAGCAGGACATTTGGAAATAACAGCTATGCATGTGAAATGAAATACCCTAAGGACATGCTCAGCTTGCCAAGCCTGTATTTTATTCAGGAATATGAGGAACGTTCAGTTGATGGAGGTTAGAGTTAATAAGGAAGAAGAAAATTGTCCCTTGCATTCAAGAAAATGTTTTGGGTAATAGCCACTTTTTGCCTGCAGCCATCAGGCTAGTTCAGAACTCAGCTTTGTAGATAACAGATCAAAATAAGTTACTATCTCTGCATTTGAATATAGACAACAACTCTTTCTAAGAATCAGGATACACTAGCTTTTTCAATTTCTGATGCTATACCTCCAATGAAGATGGCTGTTCTTTGCATGTTCTGAATTAGCCCACTGAATTCCATAGTGACAGGCTTCTGGTTGTTGACTGTTAAAGACACCTTCTGTCCCTTGACCTCAATGGTTATGGAGTGCCACTCTCCATCACTCAAATTCTGACCTGAAACACAAACAGTGGAGGCATAACAAGGCAGTCCTCAGAATGAAATTTGAAGTGACTGAATCACTTAATCATGTGCATCTACAATTATTCAGTATACAATCTCAAAAATATATTCACAAATGAACTATTGCTCCTCTACAAATTCCCCTATGGAATCTGTCTCCCCCACCCCCCGAATTCCATTTAAAAAAATTGAATCTTTAAAATACAGTTTTATTAATAGTAATCAACTATTATTAGTATTATTGCTAGTATTATATTAAGTACAACATTCTGTACAATAGTAATATATTTGTCACAATTTCTTCAAGTTAAACCAAACGTTTTGAAGGGTTGCCATGAATACCTTTAAGTTTCTGCTTTTATCTGACAATAGTTTTGAAATGGTGTAAATCTGGTGGAGTGACTTTCAGAGCAGCTCTGGAGATGACGTTCATGTGCCATATAGTAAGACAACAGACCATGAAAACATCATGAGCATCATGTGTGTTTGAGTTTGTGCAGTAGGCCAAACTGAGACACACAGCACATGCAGAATTCATATTTCAATAGTTATTTTGCACTTTAATATTCACAGACATTAGTCCATATCGTGTTTTGATTTACTACAGTATACAGCCCTGCTTTTGCTTTATTCATCCACATTTTGTCAAATTCCATGACATTCAGCATTATACAGTAAATTCCTGTTTTATGATTGGATTCAACAATTCTATCCGTTTTCCATAGCATGGAAATCATAAAAACCTATATACATCTTACCGCTAAAAACCTGAGCAGAGTTTTGTGGCCCTCCAGAGAGCAAGAGAAGCAGCCTAGCCTGGCTGAGCTGCAGAAGCAGGTTAATTGTGTTCGGATCACGAGAGAACGGGATTGAGAACAGCAGCCCTTCCTGATTCCATGTGCGGAACTGCAGTCGTACAGAGAGACTCTCCATACTGTGATCTGCAGGGAGCATCAGGAAGCTGCCCGTGGAACTGAGGAATGTCACAGTGACCGAGGAAGACTCAGAGCATGAGAACGTCACGTTACCCTTAGTAAGGAAGAGAGGGAAGAAGATAATGAAAGAAAGGATTAATATGTGGAGAGGAGAACTGAGTAGGCATATTAAAAACTAGGTGTAGTGGAAGAAAGTGAAAAGGGAGGATTAAATAATATTATACTACGGGGACGTTGAATGCTTGAATCTGATTGGCTGACGAATGTTCTAAGGTGTGCGATTATTTTCAGGGAAACACACGGCGAACGTAGTTCCAGGCAGCTCTGGGCCACATTGCATGTCCATATCACTGTGCCAAATGATTTCTGTTATTTCAAAGGTCTTACAACAGCACAATAACCAAAACCCACAATAACACTGGCCAGACAAATAAATATAGTAAGCAATATGATAAAAACGACAGATCATTTACATGTTTTGCCACATAATTACGTTTTCTTATGTGGGTAAAGCACATACTCTGTCTCTCCCGTGTTCTCTCTCCCTCACATACATAACTTACAGTACAGAAACACACTAACGTTGTAAGCGCTACTCTGGCGATTTTATCAGTAAAATAGTTTAGCAACATGACACTTCTCACAAGCAAGCTAACATTGGCGCTGTTCATTAAGAAAATGAACTTAAAGTTTCACTGTTAGTAGAGACGCTACTTCCAAACACTGTTGAGAGACGCACAGGCTCAGAGAGTACCAACCCTACCTAACCAAGCTTGATCTCTCTCTCTCTCTCTGTCTCTCTCTCTCTCTCTCTCTCTCTCTCTCTCTCATATATTACTTAGTTATTAACTGCATTAGTCTGCTATCAATGGCTCAAGTCTCCATTTCTAGGTGTAAAATTATGTTTTTGAACTAGCAACCGAGGCGTTGGATGAGATGCAGAAGAAATTAATCCCACAATAGCGAAGTAAAAGTACAAAAACTGAACGAATGCCTTGAAATATATCATCTGATCGATGTCTTGAGGTGTGGCAACAGTAGTATAAGTGCAATAATTGACTCCGGGCCATTGAATTATTAGAAAAATCCGCTTCGCGTCGTGGCCGCATCACAACCTCGGGTGTAAATTATTTTTCTAATAATTCAACGGCCTGTTGTCAATTTCCTTATTTAATGCACATGGGCATGGGCACATGGCGCAATTGAATTATTGAAGCAATAGATGTGTGCTGGCAGAAAGGTTACACACACACACACGTTTGTTTCTGTGAATTGTGGGGACTTTCCATAGACTTCTATTACTATACTGCCTCAAATATTTAGAGGATTTGTGGAAAAACTAGTGAACAATAATCTCATTGCAAAACCATGGAAAAACATGTAATAGAGTGCAAGTGTTCTACCAGAGGCTCTCTAAGCATATTTATCATAGATATGCCCAAAAACTTTTCAGTAAAGAGTTTAAAGCCTTGGACCAAACAAATAGTTTTTTTTTTTTTTATCTAATTTAATACTTTTTAAGACCTGCACAAATAACATTAATACTGTATGTCCATACAGAACAAACCCAAACAATCTCAAAATAAATCATCAGATTCAATCTTAGATTCACAAATAGGACAGGCACACAATTAACTGCAAAACAGGGTAACTGCAAGTTTAAAATGCTCAAGATGTGTTTTATTCAATATATACATATGTATTGAAGTTGGTTTATGTAGTTTTATATCAACATGCAAATTAGGGGTCAATCATTATTGTATGTTTACTCTGTTACTGAAGCCTGATTTGTTCACGTTTGTGTGGCTGCACAAACCAATGGCGCTTAAGCCCGCCAGAAAGGGCGGAGCCGACGTGTATACTCACAGCTCCATTTCATCAGAATCTTCTCCTTCAGCGATGAGGATCATCTCTTCACTGACTCTGCAAGAAGCTGAAGAAAGAAGACAGAAAGTAGCTCAACCCGCTCGCCGCCGTCGAAGAGCCCCGGCAGAGGACAAGTCTCCCCTGCGGCCATCCGGCGCTTTATAAAAGAGCAAATTAGAGCAAATTTCCACCGCGCATTGTTGCAAATGTAACGCCATGAGTGTGGCTCAAACGGGCACAGCGAGTGTGTCGCCTGCCTGGGCAGCGCCCACGCAGAGGCTGCGCTCGCTGACGGTTCATGTTCTCATTGCGAGAATATGAGTTTGTCCAGTCTCCGCTCGTGTATCGCCTTCTTCATTGAAGGTGGTACCTCCGGCACTGTTCTCCCATTTTCTTTCTCTCCTAAGAGAAAGAAACAGCGGAGCAGTGGCTCTCAACGGGTGCGAGCGGTGTCACGTCGGCCCAGCGCCCGCGGGCCCCTCTTTCTCCGCTCCAGCTCGTCGCGCCGGTGTGCTTCACACGAGAGGATCAACGCCCCTCCTCTGCAGTGTGCAGCTTGGTTTCCTTAGGCGCTTCTGAGGAAGAGATTGCTGTCGACGACTCGATGTCCTTGATGGCGTCAGATGCTGAAGGATGGTGCACTTCCAGCGATGAGCCCAAAGCCCTCTTGTCATCCCAACCATCGCGGCCAAAACCGGACAGCGAGCTGATCTGTGTTCTCTCCAAGGTGGTGGAGGATCTGGGTCTCGAGTGGTCAGCTCCAGATGAGCTCGTCCATGGCCCCTTAGACGAGTGGTTCCTGCTGGGACGCTGTCAGATGCCTTCCTGCCAGCACAGCGACTGATTTGGCTCTGCATGCTATGAAAGCCACAGCTCAGGCTATCGGCAAGACCATGGCCAGCCTGGTGGTGTTGGAATGCCACCTTTGGCTGAACGTCACTGAAATAAGGAACGCTGAGAAGATGGCCTTCCTTGATTCTCCGGTCTCGCCGAAAGGGCTCTTTGGCCCCGCTGTGGATGGGTTTGCACAGCGCTTTTCAGAGGCTCAGAAGACGTTGCAAACGCTGCGTCACTTCCTCGCTAAGCGCTCTGGTTGCTGCAGCCGCTAGCCGCCAGAAAGCCCCATCATCTCAGCCCGCAAAGCTAGCACCACCTTCAGAAAGGAAGAGGAATGGGTCAGTTCTCACCTTGGCCGGAACTCCCTCAAAAGCAGCTAGCTTTCACCCGCCATCCTTCCGAACACCTCTGAGCGATGGAGTTTTGTTTCCCACGGTTCACGTCCTGCAGATGCAGTGCACACCCGAATGTTTTTCATCTGTGATAGCAGACCCAAATACTCAAGAGCGAATTTCCTCTTCCCACATTTACACACGTGGATATCAGTTCCCCACTCCCTCGTGGTGAACTTTCATTTGCAAAATTACATAAACTTTCATCCCGGTTCAAGGCCTGGGCAGCCATACCAGGCGTGTCAAGCTGGGTTCTAAAATCAATTCAATGAGGCTACTCGTTTCAGTTTGCTTGCAGGCCACCTTGTTTCAGACGTATTATTCACACTTCGGTTCAGGACAATGAACACATTCAGGCCACGGGGACTTGGGGCAAAAATGCCACTAAATTGGACAAAAATGCCCCTGCACAAACAAATAAATCTATTACGTCTGTTGCTAACAAAGTGAATATGAATAGACAGTGTCGATTGCGGCATTAAATTAAGATCTGCTCATGTTGCACCGTATTTCATTTTAGGCATTTTTACAGTGTTGCACATTTTAACCAATCACACACGTATCTGTTGAGCTTAGGAATGCAATGGCCAATCAGAAGCGTTCAGATGAGTCATCGTTCAAACTCATCAGTTTTGTTGAGTTTGCGCGCGTTCGCTGACTGAATTCCAGACTCTTGCGAATTCTCTCATCATAAACAACAAAGAGAAGATGTACATACAATGTAAGTAAGAGATTAATTTCACAGTGTATACAGCTTCAGTGATTATAACGATAGTTTTGTTTTTTTGAGAGTACTTAAACTCATGATAGATCAATGTTAGTGATAATTTCACTATCTATATATAATTAATTCGCTGTTTGAATAACAGCGGAAAGGAGACGTTATATAATTATCAATTTCTAACGTTTTTATTAAATTGTAATCATGTTAAATACAAATTATGTCCCATTAAAACATTTTTTAGCCTACATAACACCCATGTCTGGTTCTTGCCTAAAAAGACGGGTTTATGATGTTTAATACATTTGGCTGATTTTAGCCTTACCCTGGAGTTGGTTCACCCTCCGTCGATGGTTCTCTGACACAAAGTGCGAACACTGCTTGTAAAAGGTGCTATAGAAATAGTACCTAGCGCGAACAGCGTGTCAGGCTTTTACAGCCACTACTTCCTCGTTCCCAAAAAAGATGGTGAGCTCAGACATCTGAATCGCTCGCTTATGCGCCGGCCATTCAAGATGTTAACTATCAAACAGATCCTCGTGCACACATGTTTTTAACAGTGGACCTGAAAGATGCTTACTTTCACATCCACATAGCCCCCTATCACAGGCCGTTCTTGAGATTCGCGTTCGAGGGAGTGGCCTACCAATATACAGTCCTACCATTTGGGCTGTCTCTGGCCCCTCACACTTTTAAGAAGTGCATAGACGCATAGACCTCTGAGGCAGATGGGAATCTGCATGCTCAACTACCTCGACCACTGGCTGATCCTGGCCAAATCAGAACGGGAATTAGTCGCTCACAGAGCGCTGTTACTCAGCCACTTGGAGTGCCTCGGGTTGAACTGTTTCAGTCATCCTCATACGGTTCAAGAAATCTGGTCTGTCTTTGGGAAGGCAGAGGTAGACCTTTTCGCCTCAGAAGACAGCTCTCACTGCCCTACATATTTCTCGATACAGCGAGATGCTCTGGCCCACGATTGGCCCAGTGCTCGCCTGTACGCTTTCACCCCGATAGCCCTGCTTCCACAGGTCATCAAACGGGTCAGGGAGAAGAAATGTTCAGTTCTCCTGGTGGCCCCACTCTGGAGGAACCAGGGTTGTTTCCCCGAGTTAGTGCAGCTCTTAGTAGCAGCCCCGTGGTCGATACCACTGAGACAAGATCTTCTCTCGCAGGCAAAAGGCATGATTTGGCATCCCCGGCCAGAGCTGTGGAGCCTTCATGTATGGAGCCTCGACGGGAGCTTACACAGCTCCCAGCGAGATTGAGTGACCTTCT